GATCAAAATAAAAACCATACAATGCAACAGCTGATCCAAATCAAATAATAACATCGTAAAATTTTATATTGCCACATGTCTATGATACTTTTTTCTCATTAGAGAACGTTTACAATGGTTACAAACCACAAAACAATTCAAATGATTTAAAATGTGTTAGTTTAAATGCCAACAAATCAATTGGATTCTGTTATTCAAACCATAACTACAAAAAATTAATAGCCTTAGCATTCCTCGTAGAGTGTTCTTATTCTTTTGATAATCTATGTTACATGGTAGAGTTATATTATCTTCCCTTAATTTTATATCAATTCATATCATTTTTTTATTTTTTTATTAAAAAATTGTATTATTATTACTGTTTTATGATTTACCTTTTTAAAAAATTAAAATAAATTTGGTGTGTTGAATTTAATCAGCTTGATAATTTCACTACCATCCACTTGATTAAAATAACCATGCTCATGGTTATTGTTTAAAATGATAGTGTCAATGCCAATTTTAATGAACATTGATAGTCTAATCATCCAAAAGAACATGTTTATTATGTGGGTGTTGCAATTCTTTCTAAATTATTAGCTATTGAATGTTACAATAAATAACTTAATCACAATTTATTTGATTTTTCCACTAATAAGTCTTTTTTCTGTTTAAATTACTCATGTTAGTAAAATCACAACTTCATTTGTCAACAATTTATTAATTTTTGTAGTACAACCATTGTACAATGTGGTTATATTACCTTGTCAAGCAACTACATACAAAATATAAAACTGAATATGGCATCACTTCTATTTCAATAAACAATGCTGAGCCTTGGCATCATAAGTTGGAGAATGTTGAAGATGATTGACAATAATTACTTGAATAATAGAGATTCAAAATAAATTTTAAAAGTCTTATATATTCTGATATTAAACTTTGAAGAGTTTCATTTCAACTAGAATAAAAATAAATAAAAACTAAAAATATAAAAATCAAAAGCATCTCTTCTATCAATAATATCTTACAAGATAATAAAAAATAAAGAAAATTTTCAAATTAACATCAACATCTATATATGTTTTTTTTAAAAAAAAATTAAAAATCAATCTATAATGCTGATATCTTTTGTTGTTGTTGTTGTTGTTATTAAAATAATAATAATTATTATTATTATTATTTACTATCAATACCTTTAAGTAAAAATTTATTTTAGAAGTGGCATATTTGAAATAAGTACAATTTAAGAATGAATATCAATTTAAGAATGAATATAAATTTTAATTTGTTTTAAGAATGAGTAAACTATCAATACCTTTAAGTATAAGTACAATTTAAGATTGAATATTTATTTATTTCATATATTTTTTTGTAAATCATAAAACAGTATAGGTGAAATTAAACTTCTTTGTAATTTCTTTGTATAGTTCATTAAACTTCTTTGTAATTTCCTAAAATCTAAAAGCATCCTGAGAAGAAAAAACATTAGTATAGAATTTATACTTTGGTTTTTTTTTCACAAATTCATTATGAAAATTATATTTTTGTAATTAAATAAGTGATATTTTAGTCTTTTTTTTAAAAAAAAAAGTTTAACAGTACCTTCTTATTTTATATCAATGTTGTTGATCTTACATGCAACTAACTGCACCATGAAGTCATTCAAGCTGAAATCATTTAAACACATGTTATTGCATGAAGCAAGGAAAAGCAATATATATTAATTGCTAATTATTGGTGCAGATTAAGGTCACTAATTTCAGTATTAAGTCATCTATGTAATGTATGTGCACAATAATCAATTTCAAATTCTTATAAAGTACAGTAAAGCATCCAACAACATTGAATCATGTTCACAAACCATATGGTGGGTGAAGTCACACATGGGTTGTATTCCCAATCCACTCATGGGTACCTCAAACTCATGCTGAAGGTTGTCCTGCTATTTGTCTACTACGGCTACAACATTAGGTTTAGGGTTTTTCTTCTACTTTTTGCCAACTTTTTACAAGTTTTTATGCAAGTTTTTATACAGGTTATTATGCGAGTTTTCATGCATAGATGCACGGAATGGGGGATGATAGAATGATGCAAGCAATGTCAGAGAGGGGGGGCAACAAAGGAGTGGTAGTGGTGCGGGAGTCATGGAGGAAAGCACCTCTTCTCATTCATTCCCGCGTCTTGGAGAATGTAGTTGGTTGGACATATGGCGGATGCTTTGGTCTCCGAATTGTAAGCCAATGGATGAAAAGGGAAGAGTGGATGGATGGATGGATGGATGAATAATGCATTGGAAGAGGGGTTTTATTTTAATTTAATTTTAATTTTTTGGCTTGGTTTGGTTTGAGTGCCCCAAGAGAGAGAGTATAGATAGAAAGGTGGGAGTGGGAGAGTGGACAAGAGATGGAGCCACTTCCTTCTTTGGTAGCCTTCCATGTGCATGGCATTGACAAATCCCATTATTCTATTCTATTCTATGAAACATACATGCTTTGGCAAGCTCCACTAACTCCCCCCCCTCCACTTTCATTGACTTAGCCCTCTCTTTTTAATAATGGCCACCTCCTACCTCCCTCCAAACTAAGAAAATAAAATTCTATATATATATATATATATAGAGAGAGAGAGAGAGAGAGAGAAGTAGAGAAAAGATGAAAAAAATTGGTTCTTGATTTATTTTATTTTTTTTCTTTTAATATTTGAAAAATAGTGATAATATTGCTACAATCAAAATGAAAATAGCAATGAATTATGACAGGGATTAACAATTTTGACTCATGTATTTTGAGTAAAGCTAAAGATGCTACCACAGTTGTCTACTGTTTTTTATTTGATTTTATTGTATTTTTATAAATCATTCCCTTATACTAATACATGTATTAGTATGATGTAGCCACAATCATGTATTAGTTAACGTTCCAACAACAATGTACTTAAACAGGCAGTATGTTGAGTTTGTTAACATGTGATGTGAGTAGGCAACAATTGATTTGCAGCTAATCAGTGAATTGTGATGAAATTGTTAGTACAAGCAAGTAAGTTAATGAACAAATAGCTAGTCATTGAATTAGGACTTGAAACACCCATGGAAACATAATTATTCTCACTTCCAATAATTCATAAAACACATACACTAGCCCTAAAAGATCTTCTTCTTCACATCTTCTACAACTCTAAGGATGGGGATTTTGGCTAGCATAGCAAAAAATTGAACCAATGTAGTGGTGAAGTGGCACATGATGTGGCCACATAGGATTGCCATGCGGGCACTTGGGGCCATGGCAACAAAGTGCTAGTCATTGAGTGGGTCAGTGGAGCTCAACAAGAGTTTGTTGTGTGTTAGAAAGCTCTTTGGCAACCACTTGGGTTTGGGTTCCAATGCTGTTGTCACAGCTGCAATGTGTGTGTGTGTGTGTTTTTTTGCATATGTGCCATCTTTGTGTTCCCCCTTCACAATCAAGTGCTCTAATCACACAAGTTATTAGGAACAAAGTTTTTAATTTTAGTTTATTTATATATATTTTTTCAATACAAAAAGACCGAGTATAATAGAATGTCCACATTTGCTGCTCGGTCACCATCACCCTCCAAATTCAACCACCAGCAACTCAAGCTTGGGGCTGCAGATCTGGTAAAAAGAAAAAGAAAAAGAATTGAGTAATGAAATTGAAGTTGAATTCATAGAAAAATCTGCAGTTTCAAATATATTAACTTGGATTCTAAAGAATGCGAATTCAAGAGTCGTTCACTTTGTTATTGAATACACACCATGTGTTTGTTACTTTTTATTATTGTATTTATTCTCTTATTGTCTTAAATTTTAACTTTGACTTCATTTTATGTTATTCAATTTTCATTTATAGTTTACAGAATTTTGGTCAGAACAAAAAAAAAAAAAAAAAAAAAAATGCTGTATTCATTCAACACACCAGTTTTTTTCTCTCATGAAGTAGGCAACTCAAACGCTTCCTTACAGAAACATGCAGAACATGTTATAGAAAACATGCCTAATGCAAAGACTATCTCCAACTGCAACATAATAAAAATAAATAAATAATATAATTTTGGTTTTTTGAATACACACATTTCTATAAATCTTGTGATTCTAGTTGCGTCTGACATGTTTCACACATTCTGACATATGCAAGGAGAAGAAGAAGACGAATTAGAAGCAGTGGGAATGGAAGAAGAAGAAGAAGAAGAAGGAGAGGAAAGAATAAGAAGCCAGAAGAAGGTTGTAGAAGGACAAGGTTCCTTTTCTGTGGGGTTGACCACCACAGCCTCTGTGGTTGAGCATGATTGAATGCCACGCTGGCAGGTAAAAAGAATCAAAACCCACACGCACAAACCCACTCACTCACTCACTCACTCACACACAAATAATGAAACAAAGAAAAGAAAAAGAGAAGAGAAGAGAGACAGCGAAAGAAGGCGAGTGAGATGGAACTGGGTACTCACTGACTAGTCTCCGTCCATCTCAGTTGTGATACACCAGGACCCACTGTCTGTGTGTGTGTGTGTGTGTTTGTGTGTGATTTGATGCAATTGATGATGCAAGTTTAGCAAATATATCATTCCATGGACGCTGATTCTGCAACACCACAAATACGCCATCGTCATCTTAAAACAAAGCTCTGCCATCCCTGCAAACTCCTGATTCCTCTTCGTCTTCTTCTCCTTCATCGTCTTCTTCATCATCCCCCCTCTTTCCCTCTTCTTCTTCTTCCTCCTCCTAGCTTCGATGCTCACACTGGTTTGGTTTACAATGGGAGGGTGTGATTGTCATCAAGAGGGGTGAGAATTTTAGCAGGCTGAATTGCAGCTGCATTGCCGTGGAGAGGAGTGGAGTGTGGAAAGGAGTGGAGTGTGGAAAGGAGTGGAGTTTTTTTTTTTTTTTTTTTTTTTTTTTCCCCCCTCCAGGGTGTGATGGTTGGGATAGGGGGTCTAGTCTAGATTAGGCTAGACTATAGCAGATGGGATGAGAGTAGGAGTGGAGTGGAGTAGAGTAGAGTAGAGTAGGGGGAGGGAGGAAGGGAGCACTGTGGAGATGGAGCTGCTGCTGCTGCGTGAGGGCAGGAGACCAGCTGAATCTAGAAAAGAAAGATGCCTGTCGCTTCGCCCTTCGTGCCGCACAGGTCTGACTGCCTGACCATCAACTGTCAGAATTAGGGGGGGCCACTCCACTCCGGCGCGCATCTTCGACCCAGCTCCAGGACCCGCACCGGGGTGTGGTGGTGGAGAGGTTGAGAATCAGAAGAAGACGAAGCAGAAGAAGGTTGCAGCGTATTATCAGTGATCAACACGTCGACGATGATGATGCTGATGATGTGGATGATGAGATTAGGTTCGGAGAATGAGACAAACCGCGGAGTGTCGTGCTTACGAGTGCGCTTAAACTCCCGCAGCAACTAGGCTTAAGGGAATCATTGGTGCCGTGATTTGCGCCTCGCTTCAGACTTTGTGACTCCAGACCTTCGTGATCTGTTCATGTTCGTTTGCTAGCTAGCCACCCCATGATTGCTGCATCTCCCGCTGACTTCTAATCGATTTGTAGGTAGAGTTTGTGGGAACGGCGGCCGGGAAGTTAAGTAATCAGAAGAGTTGGTCGGGGTAGTTACCTCTTTCTCGTAAGCAGCAGCAGCTCAAGTACTAGTTTGAGTATGTACAAACACAAACACACACACACGCATATATATATATATATATATATATATATGCATATTCCCACTCACTTTATTTTGATCTTTGTCTCATTACTAGATTGATTGCTAAGACGCGAATAGAAAACACACTTTGAAGACGATCCTCGTTGGTTAGTAGCACTCTAGGCTATCGATCAACGTCGTCAGAATTCTTACAGTGGTGGCGGCTCGGAGCTGAATCCACGATTGGCTCAAACTCAGAGAGTGGTTCACTCCGATTCGTTGGAGAGTAGCGTACATATGTGTCGATTTGACTTGAGGCCTAACTGATCAGCGTAGACGTTGGGTAGGAAAACTTACTGCGATCACCGACGGTTACCAGAAGTTTTTTTTTTCCCCCATTAGTTCACGAGATTCCTCCCCCGTCCCTCCTTGCACGCTCGCCAAAGTCAAGTCATGACACACAATTGGTCCCTGTATGTTCATCCAGAACCATAAAAAGTATGAGGACTAAAAAGGCTTTTGGGTGCGAGAATTACATGACGATTGAACCCAGTGTGACAACAACCACCGTGACCAGTCGATGTAAGTTGTAAGTTCTCTGCCTCGTTGTGACGTTTGATCAAACCTCGAGTCATCGAGCTTGGTACCTAAATGTGCTGGAAAGCTCAGTGGGCGCTCTGACGGCTTCATAAGAAAGAGGCGTCGCTGCTGTACCACGCATATCACTTCTATTCCCTATCCATCCCTGTGAGCCGTATTGTGTACACGACTGATACAGTTCACGGTCTGGAGATGACGAGCCTGACATAGCCACACCTCTTCGAGCTGACAATATTCGCAGCGTGCTTCGACGTTGCGACGTCGCTGATCAGCTCAGCTGGACACGATCAGTTGTTTCTTCTCCTCCCAATTCGCCTCAGCGGTGTCAGAGTGGTCGGTCGGTTCTGGAGTAGGCACCCCCGAACCAAATCGCTCCTCAAGTTCACAAAACGGTCAGACTATGGTCCTAGTTCACACACGATTTGAATCGGTGTGTGGCAAGGGGATACTGCCCGGGAGAAGGCGCCGAACAACCAACATGTCGGCCGGTATGGTTACTTGTTTGATCGGCTTGGCGCTTTTCGCGATTTTCCCTGTCTCCATTGTTGCACGAAGCAGCCCAGCTGGTAACCCATTTTCCTCTCGCCGCTCCTCGATTTTGCAAATTTGAGGTTGTCTTCAGGTTTTCTGATTAAGTAAAACGCATTCTTCACTCCCGTTGAACCTTAAAAGTTCTTTGGTTTTGTTTTGTTTTGTTTTTTTTATCCAGATGAACATGTTTGATCGGAAAGCTGAATCGATCAGTTCAATGAATAGAATGAAGCTTTAATTTATTTATTTTTGTTCCTCAGGTCTGGATGGTGTTTAGATGGGGAGCGTTAAGATTCCCTCCTCTTTAATCCACATTGACTAGAAAGATTGACAGATCCGTCTATTGAATCTCTAGAATCCATGAAATCTAATTTGTCTCGACATTCACGGGGAATGGTTGATTCGGCTCACTGAACAACCTCCCTCGGAATGTTTCTATTCTATATCGATCAGGTGGTCGTTCTCGTATTTAGTTTGACCATAAGAAAACCAACAGTTTATTTTTGTGATTAAATAGGACTTACATGTTTTTAAAGAGAATTCTCGACCAGCGAATGGAAGCTGGGATTATAAATGTCATCATATTCTGGGATTGGCTCCACTAAATCGGAAAGGCGACTCTCACTCATCACGTTATATGTTGTGCACAGACACGCCATCGGTAGAGACGATGATATCGTATGAGGAGAGGACACCGGCAACTTCTACTCAAGCCGAGCGGGAATCAGCAGAAAAGGAACCACACACCATTCAGGTACTTAACAACTCTTAGACCTGTACAGCTCGTTGTTCATAGAAGGGAGTTGGAATTCATCTTCAAGAGAATGGAATGGCCGCATAGATATTTCAGATATGGTCTCTCTCTAGCTCTGAATTATGTTGTACGTGATTCGCTCCGAGGAACAATTACGAACAACTGTCATGCTTGATTGTCACAATTGTATTCCCAAAGTCGCTGGTAGCTGACAAGTTTTCGCCTGTCTCTGCACCCATATTTATTTCCTTTCCTTTCCAATCTTGTGAGAAAAGAGAAAGCCTTGTGAGAATGTAGCAATTCTTCTGACTCTAGACTGAGGGAATCTACTCTTTAAAGAAGCTTGCAACAGTTTTGACCGCGGTCATTTCTAACGTAGCACTAAACCATTGGGTCAGTTGTGCACCCATTTTTGACAGTCACCGCCGCGGCGCACCCGCAGCCCATGTTCCTTTGAGGAAGGATACATTAAAATCTCGACAAAATCCGTCGTGGATCTGGGTTTAATTCACTGATGAGTGCGAGCTGTGGGTCCTTGTGGCAGAGAATGGATTTGAGAACACCGCAGGAAGCCGACCTCATCTTTGACTCCCTCCCGAAACTCGTCAGTGGGAGAATGAGCAGCACCAGCGGCAGAAGGGGTCTAGTGGGATCATCGCCCCCTACATGCCGATCCAAGTGCGGGTTGTGCACACCGTGCAAGGCAGTCCACGTTGCCATCAGCAGCCCTCACGGCGTCATCTCCGAGACGGAATATTACCCCGAGGTGTGGCGCTGTCAGTGCGGCAACAGGTACTACATGCCGTGAGTAAAAATCGCTTGTAGATCGATTCCACCGCAGGAGTGCTGAGCATAATAGTGTAACATACTTTTTAGAGCGTATAAGGTCGTGGCATTGGTGGCATAAAGCGAGGAGGAGGAGGTACACAGCCAGCACACGTACGCATACACACACAAACACACACACCACCACCACCACCGCTACTTGCAACAATATCTGCTTGAGATCATGAGGCGTTTGGAATAGAAGTGATCCTTCACGTACTTCGACATGTGAGGCGCACCGCTTGTTGGGCCTGGTCTATAGTATAGAACAACAGCTGCAAGGTACCAACCCACTACAACGTTGCAGTGGCGATCTCCTCCGCTGCCACACCACCACCAACATCACCAGAGAGAAATATAGTTTGCTGCTCCGGGTATGCGGTTCACCTGAGGCGACAGCCTCGACGAACCCACGGACAGATATAGCCTTCCCTAGTGCCGCCTTGTGGGTGGAGCTTAGCAAGGTACACCATATCACACCAAGTTGGACTGACTTGGAATGATCCCTGGCTATGCCCAAGTCCTCATAGCTCTGTATAAACCAGCTCTTCTTGTTGGGTGTAAACTTGGAGTGCCACGCAAAGTCAGTAATTCTCGCTTGATTGGATTTCTCATACTGGAATGGTTTCATGAGTAAAAACCCCCCTCTCTTTCTCATTCTTTCTTTCTATCTATCAAACTTTCCATATATATATATATATATATACAAATATTCACACATACACACACATGGATATATATATATATATATATATATATCCATATACACATAGTTATACACACATCGATGCAATGTGTTTTCGTTAGACTCGAGTGCTGCTGAGTCGATGTGACCAGGGTGTTCGCACAGCTCTCGATGCCTCTCTGCAAATAATCCACGAAATCAAAGCCGGGCATTGCTTGGCGGCCGTGATCTAGTCACCCACCTGTCTGGTTCACTGACACCGTGTGGGCGGTGGCTCATCTGGAGCTCACACCGCTGCCCTTCTCCCTTCTATATTTGCTTCCTTGTTTCCATGCAATGCTGCTGCCTCTTGTTGTTGTTGTTGTTGTTACTCATCGCTCGTCGTGCTTGCAGTGCTTGGCAGTTCTCCGCACCACCACCATCGCCGTTGCATTGCTTTGCACTTCTGGTTGCTCCGGAGCTTCCACTTTGTATGCATTGTGACTTTCTTTTGCTTGCTTGCGTTGTTAGCGATTTCTGAATTGAGGCATCTTGTGAGGTTATATTTTGTTGTTTAAATGTTGAGATTTTTCATTGACTAAATATGTATATTGTGATGGAAGTGACGAAGTGGAATTACACAAAGCTTATGTTAACTGTAATAAAAGTTCTTGCATTTCTGATGTCTCTTATGCACAAAAACAGTTGAATGCTTTTTTTAATAAAGTATTGAAAGTAGATATAACATTGTTAGTTTAATTAAATAATTTTTTAGTTTAACATAATTTTTGGTTTGAAGTTTGTGTCTGTTTTAAAAGTTGTGAATGAAAAAATTGCACAAGTGAAACAAATGAAATAGAAATAAAATATCAAATTGTACAGAATTCAACTTTCTTTTGAAGTTGAAATCATGTTGGTAAAAAGAATCAAAATTAAAAATATAAACTATAATGTTTAATGATAGGAAATTAAATTTAAATAAATAAATACTTTAATATTTACATGATGTCTTTTTATAATAATATCTTAGGTCACACTTAAAAAATCCAATTCTATCTTAAAGCCATTTATGTAATCATAAAGATTGTAACAAGTATTGTTGTTGGTCTAACATTGTGCCAACAAAAGATCTATTAAAAAAATTAAGAAATATAAAGATAAGACTTTACTTATAAAAATAAGAAAATATTAATGTTCTTCAATTCAGCATCTCTTTTAATCTTACTTATATCTTAACAATTAGTATCTTTATAAGATATCTTATTTATATTACTTATTTTTAATAATTATTTTTCTATTGATGCATTAGTTTTGGTTTATAAAGATAGTATAAAACAAATACTTGTATCTTGACTAATATATTGATTAGACTAGATAATAGGTTCTTTATTTTTTTAATAATAATGTATTTATTTTAAATCATTTAGTCTATGAATTATGAATCTCAGTATGATATACATATTCAATTTACAAATTAAAAAACTTACCAATTTTTTTTATCTATAATTAAATATAAAGTAAGATGTTTTCTATATAATTTATAATTAACAACAGTATTTTAAGATTAAAACATAAATATATGTATGTTTCCTTGATGAGGATTTGATATTTAAAATTTTATATATAAATATTGAAACTATTGAAATTGTACCACAAGTTTCTTACTTTTAGAAAGATTCCTCAAAAGCAACCTGTAACTAGACACTTGGGCCATATGCTTTGTAGTCCTTAAAAAGCTTCTACAAAATTTATTTTTTTATTTTTATTTTTATTTTTTTATAGCTATAGTATATATAGAAGCAAGTCTAAAACCAGGCTAAGTCTTATCAACACTTTTTGTATGTTTCTAGTCTTAATTTAAGATTTTTGAATTTATTTGTATTTAGCAATAGCTTTTTTGGTTCTTTTCTATTGTATAAATAATTCTTCTTACCTTACTTTCTTTCGTATTTATTAATGCATGAGTGTGTTGTCTTTTGGATTTTATCATTGATAATTTAATAATACTATTAATATTTTATAATTATTTTGTTTAAAAAGAAAGTAGATTATTCTACTTCTAAGATTTATTTTTGTATTTTTAAAGATTTTAAATTGTTCATCTTTGAACTAATAATTTTTTTCTAACATTAATTTATTTTTAAAAAATAATGGACTAAATCTTATTATAGAAAATTTTATTTGATAATAATAATTATAGATTATCTTCTTTTAGTTTAACTTGTACATTTCTTAATTTTTCTTAGTATTAATATTAAAAAAAAAAAAAAACTATAGATACTATATTTAGTAGAAGTGACAATATTTTTGTAACTATCATAAATCTTTATGAGTTTTAAAAATTATTTGAGCAAAAATCTCACAAATTAGCAACTTCAACTATAGAAGTACCCTTTCTATGCCTGTATAAGAAATCAACAATGAGGTCCAATCTTTATACTAAGAAGTTGTGCAAATTAAAGGAAAAATTACTAGATCAATTTCATAAGTTATTTCTATAAATTTTGCTAGTATAATCATAAATTAGCCAATTATTACTGAGCTAAAGAAGCTTAATTTAAAAAATCAAAATTTTAAAGATTTTATAACATTTTATTTTTTTTAAAATATTTTTTTTAATATCTAAATAAAATCATTTAAATAAGATTGATAGTTATGTATTTATTTTTTTAGTTATCTATTTATTTAATTTTCACTTTTTATAAAGAAGAGTTTTTAACTTTGGTACAATCTAAAGTCATTTGTAGAAGTATTTACAACCACTTTTAGAAAGAAATTTTTTAAAAAAAATAGTAAAAATAAAGCTCTAATGTATGCAATAAAGATTACATTCAAATGCTATCTATGCTATCAAATTCCAACAAGTTTCTTACAATATGGATTAGAACAATAAAGCTTTTATTAATTCATTTCTATATAATTTAAAAGACTATGTCTAAAATTTATTTTTAGCAATGCCAAAAGCTAATTGATTGGAATAATTTAGCATTTAAGCAATTGCATGCAACAATTAATACTTTAAAAGGTGCCAAGAACAAACTTTTGATGAAGAAGAACAAATTAAAGAATAAAAAAACTTTTAAGTTCTTAAAAATCTATTTATCAATGCTAAATTCTATTCAAATGAATATAACTTAATTTAGGCAATGAATACTATAAAATAAATAAATAAAATTATGCTATTGTAGCAAATTGTATTTATAATGTAAAAAATTGAATCACAAAGTACAAGACTATCATATCAAACAATATGATTTAGAACAAGGAGTGCAAATTTAAATATAAAAAAGTCAAAAAAAAATAGAGACATCTAATTACAGTATGATCATTGTTGTTGAACAAATCTAAACTACAACCATAAAATACATCTCATACCACTATTGAAGCCTATATCTTTTTTTAACTATCTTATATTCATTCCAACTTCAAATTATGAATTTTTTACTCAAGAACTTTTAGCTATTAGAATCTAAGCATGTTTTGTAGATAGAAAATTTGTATTGCAATAAATTTATATACTTTCAAAGCAATGAAGACTTCAAAAGTAGAATTAAGAGATTAAATATCCAACATTATCTTCAACAACATTCAACATATTATTAAATCTGATAAAATTTAGTTGTCTTTGATTTAAATGTATTATCTTGATATTTATTAGAAATTATAAAAAATTATTTTAATATTTAATCTAAATTCTATCAAATAATCTCAAATTTTATTTATTGGATCATTTTTTTAAGTTGCAATATATATTTTTGTCATTTATATAGCACCAAGTCTTTATTCAAATAAAAGTTACAATAGAATCTTAAAAAAACATACGTAATATGGAGATTTCTTTTTTAAAAAAAAATTGATATATTGCTAATATATTATTAAAGACATGAATCAAAAAAAGATTTTACAAAAGTAATATACTCTTATAATATTTAAAGAGAGAAAGTAGATATATTAAAAAAAAATATACGATAGAAATTAGAATAGTTATTACCAAATACAAAACGACTAGAGATTTTTGAAACAAAGTTAAGAACAAGAAAGTCATTAAGAGTGAAGAAGGTCTTATTCTTGCCTCTATATATACTATCTAAATAGGAGAGTACACATCAACATTTTATAGGTCATTTAATACAAGTCCAACTTACAAGATATATGTCTAATTTACAAAGCAAGTTGCTAACATATACACCACATGACCAACTTATAGAATAACTGACCAACATGTCTAACATATAGCTAACTTGTTTGCCAAGTTTTCAACCTACCAATTACTTACTAATACTTGAAAAATCAAGTTTGTGTTTATAAAGCTTCTAAGAAGCTATTTTACTAGATATTTTTAAATTTACTAACTTCTACTTATTTCTACCTAAGTCTACAATCTAAATAATTATTAATATATAGTGACTCAAAAAATAGTTTTAATGTTGATATGTTTTGAAAAGAATGGTATATTACAAATGAATTGTAGTGAATAATGATATATGGTTTGTAGAGAAAATAAAGTACTCCTTCATAGCTACCAAATGAGCCCAAGTTAAAAAAAAATCTATGAAGTTAATGTAAAGCTATAACCAATCCAATTTGGAACAGTATTGAAATATTTTTTTGAATGTGGTATCCAATTATATATCAGTACTTTGGCCTTGATAATTGCTTCTAACTTCCTAGGCATAATTTCTATTAAATTTTGGTACAAAATTTCTTCAATATTATTCTATTCCGTAGCCATTCTTTCCCATAATTTCCAAACTCCCTTTGATTTTATTTTCTAGGTATTGAACTGGTATTTGAGGTGCTCCCAAAGGTGTTCAATGGAATTAAGATCTTGAGACTGATCAAGCCAATCCATTACTTTAATCCCATCATAATCAAACCACTTTCATGCTAGCTTTGAGTTATACTTAGGATCATTATCTTGCTAAAAAATCACCTCTTCTTTAGAAATGTCAAATTCTTCAATGCTAGGAAACAAGTTTTTTTCAAATTCTTT